TGATACCTCGCATCTGCCGCCCGGTGTCTTGGAGGCGACTGATTAGAAATCTCAGCGCTCTTGCATCGACCATCTGCAGGAAGGGGACTTGGATGACAAGACCTTACTGAGGCGTTTCACTTTTCAGAGGGTTGCAGCCCTGTTACACAGAAGCATCTCACACAGCAATAGCGTGCAACAGCACTTCTTGCGGTGAAAAGGCGAGAATACAGTACCTTAGGTGGCGGAGGCCCGGAACGCACGGCAACAACGAGTAGTCTCTTTCAAACCTTCCAGCTCCTCCAAGGTCTGGCCGAGAAGCCAGTTTCACCTCCTCCTGCAACTGAGATGTCAGATCTTCAAAGCAATTCTTCGCACGACGTTCTTTTTGAACGTCCCAGACCTCAAGGGCACGTTTGGAATGCAAGCGCATTCCAGCTCCGGGCCGCTCAGCTACAGCAAGTGATATAGTAGTCAACAGCTAGTGTCTCGTACGTATTGCATAAAACATGCTGGCTAGTATATGGTTTCGTCCAGGATAGTAGAATGCAAAATAACTCTAATCGCACCTAAGGAGTCTTTTCACCGTCGGGAAAGGTGGAGACGGGCAACCGTGTTCGGGTCGTGCGTTCTGGTACGGGCGCAGGACGAATTACCCCGCCTGCAGAAGCTAGGCTATGTCTGACCTGGACTTCTAGTCTAGAGTCTAGAAGTCTACAGTACATGCAAAGCTCCTTCGCTTCTACTGGATCCAGGTCAAATACCCTCACCTGCGCAGAAACTCTCCAGCAACTCCGTCACCGCTCATGAATCGCCGCCCAGCAACGTATGTCTGGCAAGCTTGCACACGCCTTTGATCGAGCACGGGCTGAAGTACTGTTACTATATTTCACACAGTCAAGCGATTCTTCACTCGTCGCTGGAAGATGGATGTATTGCTTGCGAAATGTGATAACTCGGAGAGAAATTGCAAGCAGGTGTCTGGATCAGCTGTTTCGGGATATTCATGCTTTCCAGTGCGGATCTCGTCTGCGTCATTCGTTGGTGACGCTGGAGCGTCCACTGGTTATACATGGACGTCAGGAATGTCAGATCAGCAAACACCTCGAAGTGGCATTGCACAAAAAACGGCCCAAATGCACGTGCACACGGGTTACAGTCGGGCCTTTGCAAAATAGAGCTGGCTCAGAATCATGACCACAGATGCAAATAGCCTGAGTCTCATGCAGGAGAGTGCTGCTCATGCGCGCCTTTCTAATCCTGACAAGGTAGTATGCCAGGAGACCGCTCATCTGCATTTTGCGGTGTGATGTCTCCATATCCAATGGAAGTCGCTGTGGTCGTTGTATAGTACCAGGCAACCCTGCAACGAGTCGCCCAATGCAGTACAGCAAGGCTGGCTGTTTCTCACCACTGCTGCAGCTGGGATGCATGTAGAACCTTCTACAGCCACTGGTGCCTCCGACAGAGCTTGGTCAGCAACATGAGTGGCGCGCTGTGCATAAGCTGCCACAGACCGAACAGATTGCCTGCGCTGCCCCGTAAGCTGTCGAATGCCCAAGCATCTTCACGCCCGCTTTGCACGTGCATGATCGATATGATGCTCAAAAAGCTCGAAAAGAGATGAATCATCACCTGGATGGTGTCACATTTTTTTCTCGCTTCAGAAGTGGGATGCTTGTTGGTCTTTTGGAAGGGTGGCGCGGCCACAGAAAATTAAGAGCGCTGCAAAAAGCCACATCCCCAACTCGAGGCCATCCTTTGCTGTCTAAATGGACACGGCTCCCGTGGAAATGCAGAACGGAACTCCGAGCCAAGGAAGAAGACCGATGCAGAAAGACTGCGCCAAGCATCCCTCCAGAAGCTGGACACCACTGGCACGGAGGGTGGCACAAGCAAACGATACCCTTTGGCAAGGATTAAGATCCATGCCTTAGCAAGAACAATTCTTCGCAGTTGAGCCGTGGAGGAAAGTAGTGCACGGCAGTGGGTGCTATGGTTGGCTGCAAGCAAGATGCCCAATGAATCCATCCCTCTATCCTGGAAGAAACTTTCTCAGGAAGTCATGTCAGTGGCTTGCATCCATTCCTCGCGTGTGCCAACCCTGTGCGTCCTTGTTGGCTCTGACGTGAGCTGTGTCACCTCCACGAAGAATCCAACAAACCTCGTGCGGGAAACTTTCTGCACGGGTGCCTTTGCGCTGCGAACTGCCGGTCAGCTGGCCGGTTGGTGCTAAGTGTGCCCTGGTCTGAGGATCTTAAATCCATCACTCACAACCTGTTTCGACACCTGCTGCATTCAGTGGCCCCGTTGTGAACAGGCTCCAAAACACTCCGCTCATGTTTCTTCCAAGGAGCACGAGGAAGTCAAAAACTGGGATCCAAAAGCGAAACGACCATACATTACCCTCCGTCTCTGGGTTCTTGCTGTCCTGCACCGGCCCTCCTCGGGCGTGCAGTTGCCTGGGACATATGCAGTCAAACTTGCCCAGAACAAGGATGCCAGTTTCATTCTCACACGCACACGCCCTGCATCTATCTATGTCTATATGTACCTCATTACATATATACAGACAGACAGACCGACAGACAGACAGACATACACATGTTGCATACAGGTATATGTATACACACACACTTTGGCTCAGGATGTATGTAAACTCTCTGCCAAGCTACTGGACCAGTGCCGGATGCAGGCTCGCACCAGCGGCGTGCTGCTTCAGCAGTTTGAACCTGGAGGAGGTAAAGGCTACAGTATCGGCTTCAATGAAATTCTCCTGCAAAGCGTTGTCGGACCGTGTATTCCAGAGCCGCTACGACCGCTGACTACTCGTTCCCGGATCAAGAGCCTGACTACTCGTTCCCGGATCAAGAGCCCCAACACAACCTTTGCAGAAACCAAGCGAGAGCTTCGAAGCAAACCAGTCGGCAGCACATGCTACTGCACTGCTGGGTGTGCCATCTATCTCTCGTCTATGCTTGTTATGGTTGGAGCGTGTGCACGTGAGGGCTGTGCCTTCGTGACTGCCTGAACCCTGAGTACGCCATCACAGCGAACAGCCGCACCGGGTCGAAATAGTAACCTGCTTCATGCAAGGTCGGCCTGGCTGTTCTCTGCTTCCACATCTCCGGCCACGGGTTGTGTGGAGAGTAGATGAAATGCAGCACGGCAAAAACCAAGTAAGCCACGGTTGAGACCTCAGTTGCAGGACAATTCCGGAGTCTCTCAGAGACATCAGTTGAGCAGGCGCTTTTTGCTGTGTCTTATATAAGCCAAGGATCTAAGTGAAGAAGTTTGCCCCAGAACATCAACGGTCGCTCTGCTTCTGAGCATTCAGACTCGAAGGACAGTGCAAAGCCGCCAACCAGTAAACCTTGCAGTGCACACTTCCTGGAAAACGCGAACATGTTGTGTCAGCCAAGCAGACCACAGCACTAAGCACCCGTGTTTCAATCGTGCATGAGAATAGAACTCTTGCCTGATGCACTCTCCCAAGGAACTGAAGAAGCACAGCGGATGTACTCGAGATTCGGTTCTCACCAGCGCGCGACCGCAGCTAGCCTTTGTTGATCAGTTCGTAGGGCAAGGGAAACGCAACACCAATGAAAAGCCAAGCATCGAGTCTTCTTCTGCAGCGATAAGTCCTTGGATCAGCTACGAAGAATGTTTTTCAGAGCAAAGATCTTCTAGCTGCCGTTGCAGACTTCGCATCCCTGTATATACTGCATGCGTTGCACTGGACATGTTCAGGAGCTCTGAAGACCTCGCTCGACACACAGACCTCAAGGATTGCATCCCCCGTGGTATTCCCGGCTTTCCAAGCTTCGAAAAGAATGAGTCTGAACCAACTGATGTGGTTGTCAGCTTTGTTCCTTGGCGATCCAGCAGCTTTGGGACCTGGGAGCGCATGCAGTTCAGCCAGCACCGAAGCTGTGCAAATGCCATATGGGACCAAACGATCAGTGTCTGACCTCATCCGCCGGAACAGCAGCCCGTATGTCAAATAGCGACGCGAACACTGAATACCTGCATTCCATCATGTTGGATATCTCTGTGGTAGATCGAGCTCGCATCCAAGCTGCGCGACTTCGTGATTTCAAGCCGGACACACAAAAAGAAGCAGCTGCGAGAAGGATGACACCAAAGAAAGTACCGAGTCAACACCAGAAAGAGCTTCGATCAACGCGACGCTGCCTGTGGAATTGAGGCTTCCCTGCGAAAGCGGACTTGCGCGAAATCACGGTTGCCAGATTGTCTTCGACCTCAGCAAGGCGAAGACTGGTAAGTCTCCGGCATTCTCCGGCCACAGACTATGAACCAACAACAGGAGGACGGACCGTGCGCAACTTCTTGCTGCTTTGCTGCTCCTCTGCTCCTTGTTCGAACAGTTTGCGCACCTGGTGTGCACACTTGGGAAAGTGGACGGAAGGCACAAAGAACTTCCGAATTTCCCCCCCCCCTCCTCCTCCCTTGGGGGCCTGATCGACCATCTGGACTGCGAGGAGACCGAGGCGTGGAGCTCTTTGGCGACTTCTGGGCCTCCAGTTCCTCCGATACTTGAGGGGCTTCCTGCGCTTCATCTGAGTCTGGACTTGGGACCTTGCAGAGAAGTTCCATGAAGTTAAGAAACACATGTGACTCGTGTTCTGAACGGCTGTTGCAGCTCGGCCGTATGGTAGGCCCCCTGCAATCTGCACACTCAACCGCTTGCCTCAGATGACGCTCACAAACCATGGTCAATCGGGGCCAACCCGGCCATCCTGCACCAGACCGACAGCACTCAGCAAAGCGGCGGCCGCTCATGGACTCATTCGACGTCTTAACATTGGCATTCGCGAGCCCAGGCACCTAAAACCACCACTGCCTTTGCTGGTGGCTGAGTTGGGCCATCGCGCTGCAGGTATGCAGACAACAGTCGTCGCAAAAAGCTTGAGGCAGTAGAGACTTGGCTGCATGTCACTTGCATGTCTCTGACAACGTTAGGATGCACTTTTTGAAAATCTCCTGCGCTCTTCTGCGGCTCAGTTCCGACCATTGCCTCGCCGGCCTGCAGCTGGCACACAGTGCTGTGCCTCTGCTCAGAAATGACAGGTCTGTGCCCTTCTTTGCATCGCCTTTGCCAGTGGGAGCAGACGCTCGCCCTCAGTCTGCAGCAAGTCTTGTCTATCCTTTTATATTCTTGTCGACTGCTGAGAATCAGACTTGGTTCCGACGCTTGCGCCTTCTGAGTTCCACGTGGTAGCTTGGCAGCAGCCCATGGATCCAAACCTGTAAAGGGCTCATATTGTGGTCTATCTAGGACCTAGATCTGTTCTCGGTAGACTGCACTTGTGCCTGACACCCAGGGATCCTCCTCCTGCTGGTGACGGGGTACAGACTTCCTGAGTGAAGTCGGAGCCGTGTGACTATGTGGAACCGTGACAAGCCGAGTTGTGTCGTTGAGGATGCTCTCTCAGCTAGGATGGCACATGCTGGGAATGAGACTTGGCTGGCCTTCCTTCGTCACAAGGCTTGGGCTCCGCAACGGCCGACCGCACCTTTGCTCAAACCAGCGGGATCTTGATGCGGACTCATGAGAACATGCTGATCTGCCTCTCCGAAATCCGGGTGATTGCGCACGAGTCCATGCTGACAGAAACTGCCGTGCACCACGCTATGGAAACTGGCACCGCGCAGTTATACCCAAGACTGTCCTCTAAGAAGGGTTCAGACAGTAAAAATACTGGACGACTGCACTGCATACGTAGCCTCGCCAGGCAGTCGAGGTCAGCACCAGAATCCGGACTTGCGGTTGCGCCGCATCTGATTGGCCTTGCGATTCACAGGTCTGCGTCCATGCGAATTTCGGCTACTGCGGATTGTTCAGTGAACTTCGATGCTGGATGCCAGCACGAGGCCTGTGACTTCTTCAGGGAGATCCTGGCTCGAAGCGCACAAAGCCGCAGCACGCAGACTCAGAAGTTCAACGGTGTCTGCGATGCGCGATGGTGGCCACACTTTCGACCTGCAGCCCGACCCAAGAAACGGCCTTGAAACCGCACTGTATTCATGCCCTTGGGCAGAGATCTGTTTTTGCTCGCGAACATCATGTCAGAACGTGGGTCAGCTGAAACTCTGTCCTCGAGAGAAGCAAACCTTTACACGGCGCTCATGGCCTGCCCCGACTGTCTGCTGATTCCCTTGTCCTCTACGGACGCTGCCATCGCAGGCTCGATCCGAAGAAAGACGCAAGGAGCACAATGCCCGAAAATACCAACAGCAGTCTCGGGAGATTCTGCTTCGGCGGTTCGCGATCTTGTGCTTGCACTTGTTGGCCTCGGGTTTCTGCCTGCAGCGCAGATGGACAGCATTGGAGACCAGAACTTTCTCAACCCAACAGCGACAACATGTGATGTCACAGAGCAGCTACTAGGAAACTAGGAATTCCCAAGCAGGCTTTGAGCATTGAAGCTTCTGAACCCCTAGCCCTAGCTTGACTCTTGCTTGCTTTGCTTCGTCGATGTTCCAGCTGGCTCGCATGCTCGCGAGCTTTGAAGACGGCCACCCTTCTTGTCGTCCCCACATGTTCTAACCCAACCCTCTTCGCAGTATGGACGCTTTCCGTTTCGTTATCGGCTGGTCATGTTAAATATGAAGAAGCTACTATAAGAGGGGCCAGCCGGTCGCCCCAGCGGTGCTACAAGCACTTACACGTTGCCATCACACACGCACACACACACACACACACACACACACACACACACACACACAGACACACACGTTTCTACCGGCCGGCCTGATCCGTTGTTCCGGTAGTCTCGGATGCTTCTGCCGATGCAGTGGCATCTGCAGCCAGTGAAAAGCAACCATCCCCACTTCGCTTGCACTCATCACAAAACTCGGGGAAGAGTTGGCGGAATTCTGGCCGGGCAGTGTTGAACGCGAAGGATGCTCGGGCATAATCCCGACGCTTGCCTTCCGATGTATGCATGCCACCCGTTGTGCGTGGCTCACTTGGGTCCAGCATGAACGAGACCAGACCCACGAGAATTGATTCAATTCGCCAGGATGGATTCCAGCTCTCTGGGTGAAAATCCGACATGCTCAAACACAACCTCGTGTTGATATCAAATCTGCCAGATGGAGTGAGCATGTAAATGGCTGGCGGCTTGAGCGGATATTCTCGTGGGAACACTAGTTTCCCTTCGTAAACACCTCCACGGTAAGGTGTCTCCGCTGGCAGGTCATGCAAAACGAAATTCCACACCAAAATATTTGTTTCAGATGGCCTGGCGACAATATGCGGGATTTTAGGCGACTGCTGGATGATGGCATACTCACGCCGGAGTCGGGTCAGCGCTGCCTTCTCAGCCATGGCAACAGCAAGGAGTCAGTTGAGCTGGATGCAAGACAATGTGAGTAGGCTGCACTTGGAAGATCCGACTTCACCGCATTTTTCGCAGCCGTTGGGCAAGCTTGGGCACACACTTGGATACTGGGCTGGGCATGTCTGGAAGAAAGAACTGGCACTGAAGCCAAAGCAGCCAGCACATAGAGTCCATGCAGAGCAAGCTCATGAAGCGTTTCGACACTTATTACGGGCATAGGCATAGATGCACCAAGTTTCTGAGCACCAAACTTCTCCTGTCTGACCGGCCTCCGAAATCAAGAGACCAAGTGGCCGAAGACAAATCGCATCATTGGCCTGTCAGCTCCTTCTGACGAATGAGCACCTGTGCATGACAAACGACTGGTTTTCGTGGTTGTGTGTTCGCGCGTGCACGCACGCGTTTTTCGGCAGAAACGGCAATGTGCTATGTGGCATCTTCCCTCTAGTCATCCAGCAAGTCGGCTTGAGCATAAGCCGTGTGCAAAGTCACATCATGTCAAACAGTCTCGCTCGACATTGAAAGCCTCATCCTCTTCAGCATCGAGTCTTTCCTGAGCAACTTACAGGGTAAGTGAGGGTCACGTGCCTCATCGAGCGTGCTGGGGCAGGAGCCTGTAGGTCTTCAGGCCAAGCGCTACCTCGTTTTATCGAAACTGTGAGCTCATCTGTGCCCTCAGGCAGCGTCCTCTTGGATGCAGGCTTGAAGTCGCAGTGCTAACATCGCTGCTGCCACAGAAGATGGCCCGGCCCTAATCCAGACGACAAATGACAGACTCGCACGAAATCGCACAGCTCGCCGAGTTCAAAGGGCTGTGGTCTTTCTTCTTGCTTTCGACGGCTCTGAACTCACCGTGCCTATTGCCGTTCCCGTTTTGCCGGCTGCTTCAAGCAAGAAATCTGCTCAAACATGCTCAAACCAAAAGACAATTAACTGGGGCCAACGCGTTCATTGGGCAAGATCCAGGCCTCCCTGGATCTGCGCTCGGGCGTGCCCCTCCGCTGTAGAGATATGTGCCCTCCTACTATGAATGGCAGAGCCACATGGCCGTACATCTTCTGCTTCCGAGGAGCGGAAGGGACAGCCAACCCGCGCAGGGCGTCCCTTTCCTTGCACGAATCTGCCTCGTACTCGTTCCTTATTGCCCTTCCGTTGGTCATTCTTCGCATTGCTCTGGGGCAAGGAGAAGGGGCAGTCCGCCCTCTCCGCAAGGCTCGTCCGAGCGGCCCCATCCACGATTTTTGGCTGTACGAAGACTTGTTTGAGTTGCGCAACCAACAGGGGATCAGCTGAGCTTGTTTTTTTCCTGAGTCTCGCGGCCGGCGCCTTTCTGAGTGTTTTGTCAGGCCACCCCACACCCCAAGCCCTTTCTCCGAGCCAGTGCGCCCAGCTTAGCATCCGGGTGAGGCTCCGACGTTTCCGTTGGGCCAGAGTGCACCCGAGGCCACCCACTCACTGACTCACTGCGAGGGTTTAGGGGCGGTCTGAAGGCCTACGTTTAAGTGGCCCGCGCTCTCTTTTCCTCTCTGTGGGGTTGGCTCCATGCTCAGCCCTGCACCGTCTCAGCTGGGCGCAAGGCCGCAGCACCTCAAAATTACATCCGAGGAACTCCCGTCACCAGGTACCGACCTTGTCTGAGCTTCTAAGCACCTCTGGGCACCTGACCGTCACCTTCCTCCTGTGTCCAATCAGCTTCATATTCAACCTCTATGTTGAAGCTCCTTGGGAAATGGGGCGAAGGCCGTAAGCAGCACACACATTGACATTGCAAGCGCATGCTGGCGCTGGCTTATTGGTTGCAGTTCTCGGGTATGCAGAACAGCCCTGATTCTGATCAAAAAATCCCAGTACTCAGGCTCAGCCACACGATGCCGTGCATGAGCAGTGCGAAGCTGAGGAACAGTCGTGTTTTGTGCAGTGCCTTCCTGGGAAACAGCCGGTCTAAGAGTGCTTGGCTCAAAGAGAAGAACAGGCCGTGCAGATCATCACGAGGCACCAAAGCAGCAAGGGTCCTCTTCCTCTTTCACTGCTCGCATCCGGCTGCCAAGGTTTCCTTTCAGACCGCGAGACGTGTTTCTGCAAGCAGAAAGATACAGGAATTCCTTGCGAGACCATGCTTTGCTAAGCGATGCGCTGCGACTCCTCGGACGCTCCTCACAGAAGTAGACATGCCCATGGCAGATGGTAAGCTTTGATGCAAAAGCCTTGCCTGCGGATCGAAGGGAGCCAAAGATGTTTTCGGCACGCTTGCCAGTGTTGCGCCGGCAGCCTGGGAATAAGGATGGGGTCTGCCAGTGAAAAGCCTGTGCGTCTAAGGCTGAGGGTCCTACAAGCAGCTCCAGCTCAAGCAACATCTTGGCCTCATCTTCAGATAGTCCACGGCCTGGCCACTTATTTAATTACATAAACGTTCTGATAGAACGTTTAAGTAAAACTATATCGGCTGTCAAATCTTGACAGGTGCACAGTCCGTCATGGAAGAGGGCGAACAGTCAGTGAGCTTGTGACAGCTGCAGGAAGCGGAGCTTATTCAACCAAATCCCAGTGCAGCAAACCGTAGACATGTGTGTTTTTGCCCACGGCATGAAATTGTAGAATTCTTTGTCCTGACCAAGTCGTTATGTGCAGCCTTGTGAGTATGCTGGGGCAGCCGAGTTGACACTGCACATGGCACTCTCGCTTTTCCCGATGTCGCTCGGATCATCGAGACGTCGGCACCGCCTGAATGTGGTAAGATCTGAAATGTTATGTGGCTCTAGATCTCTCGCAAATGTCGCAGGAGGTCCTGGTCAACGGAAATGAGAAGCATCGGTGAGGATGGCTGTGACGGGCTGAAACAGGTCCTGTGGAAGCATGTAAGAGACGAGTGGTTTTGACAGATGCGGGTTGGGACGAGCGTCCAAATGGGTGCTGATCTTCGCTCATTGTGGAAACCAGCCTACATCATTGCCCTTGCATGCAGTACCAGACGACTGCAGCCAAGGTTCTCCGTCTTGACAGCCAAGCCCCGGGAGCGTGCTATCTCCTGGTCACAGTGTTTGCGATGCTCAGAACCTTTAGTTCATCTCGTCCCACTCTGGCTCCAAGCTTCCATCACAGAAAGTAATCTGCAAGGCCAGCGAGCTTTTTTGTTACCTCTTCAACCAGCGATGTCCCCACAAAACGCCACCTAACGACAGCAACTGAGCCATGACCAAACGAACCAGCCTCGCTTCAAGACCCACACCTCGTCTGCGCTGCTATCACACTGCGCTTGGTTGGTACATGCTGCTCCTCGAAGTACGACACGGAGCCAAGCTGGCGCCTTTCTATATTGTCTGGCTCCTTAGAAGACACAACCGCTACTGGTATCTTGAAGCTGGTCAGCTGGCTTTCACTGCACCAAGGAGCCATAAGAAGAGCAGGTCCGGCGAAGTGAATGATCAGGTCCACGAGCCAAGCGACGACTTCCTTGTCATACCTGCTGCCGTTCTACATGTTTGGATGACCCTCTTTTTTGATGCAGGCTTGCTTGACCCTCTTAAAGGTGGAATCAAGAAAGGCAAGCCACAGAACGTCTGCCGCAGCTATCATGCCACCGAAGGGTGGTGGCCAGCTATCTTTGTCTGACCAATCGAAAGCTGCGGTGGTCCTGGCTTGTCGGATCAGATGGCGGCAGGTAGAGCCTTCGCGAGTAATATTTGCCTTACCAACTTCGGTCGAGGCACACCCTGTCTGCAACACCATTTCGTTGGGCAGACTGCTTCCTCATCAGCTATGCGCAAGAAGCAGGTGCATGCCGCATGCCCTCATTGACTCATGCCAAGACCTGATCCAGCCAAGCAGCGAAAGCTCCAAAACCTGATATGCAAAAGGATTCAGTTTGTGTGCGGAGCCTGCATCATCTCAACTATTCGCAGTGACTCGTAGTGCGAACATGAGGCCAGCGAATCCCTGTCGCTGATCAGCACTTTGGGTGCCCCAAGCTTGGCAGCAGCAATGCCTGCCGCATCGTAGCTACGCGGTCGTGCTGATGTCGTCTTCCGTCGATCTCAAACCCGGCAAGCCACGATCCCCAGCAAAAACCATCCGTCATGGCGTGCACGTACCGTTGTGCAGAGTCGTTGCAAAACATTGGGAAATGCTTCTGGGGCTTCCTGCTCAATCGGAAACCTTACGGACTTGAGCATCTGTACGATCTGCATGTGCCGTAGAAGTGATACTGAAGCATGTGTGATGGCCAATGAGGCGCTCAGGTTATCAAGATGGCCTGCTAGCCCAAGTCCGGCTCCAATCTCACACAGGCCGCGCCCTTGCCAAAGCTCTTTCCTGCGTATGCATGCAGGTGAAGATGCATCGCAGTTGGCTGGTGGCAACCGAGAAAAAGGATGGCAGACTGCCTCTGCAAGAGGATTTCTGCAAGAACTTGCTCTGCTGGCCTCAACACCACATTGAAGTCGTTTTGTCGAAGCTCTAGCCTTTCATGACTCAAATGCAGAGGTAGCGCCACACGATGTCCGAAACAGTGCCGGCGCCAGCTTCAACTTCTCTTGTAAATCTGCTGATATCGAGGACCTGGTGTCGCTGAGATATTGTGCTTTCCAGCCGTGCATTAAACTTGAGGCCCAAGCATATGCTGGGATCACCAAATCTATGGCCGCTTCTCCGAGGCTAAACCTTTGCTCGGCTGTCTCGCTAAGGAGGACTTTCCTGGCATCGTTCATGGATGGGTCCTGCCAGGTTGGCGAAACCAAAACCTTAAGATACGCCAAGATAGCACATGTGTGCTCAAATCTTGTCCTTGCCCAGCCGTTGTTGCCTTCGTTGCTCCTCTCTTGAAACACGGCGCGTGCCGGCTGCAGGCGCTGCTCCAAACCCTTTTGCTCGGCCTTTCCTTGCTCACAGAAAGCTCATGTTCATGCACATTCATACAGGCATACAGACATTCATGCATACACAGAGCTTGGGTATGTACATGTGCATAAAAAACTATATAACGGCTAGCATATAAGATTGTTGATGTATTAAACATAGACAGAGTGCATGCTGCCTACATGAAAAGAAAGCGGCCAGGCTGCTTGACCGGCTTTGAAGGTTTTGTTCTCGGAGGTCCAGGATCAAAACCGGCAGCTGCCCAACCACAGCACGTCACTGCAGTCAACACACCGGCCTCAGTCAAATGGCACAATCACATCTTCCATCGTTATCAACCCTCCGAGTAACCGAGGCCATCACTGCCAATAGAAGGTTCCGTCGTCGCGGTATCATGCTAAAGTCTTTGTGCAGGAGCTGGTCAAAACAACAGTCACGTGAGATCCGGCGTTGAACAATCGTGCTACAGTACACTGCTACGCCAGCATGCTGTGGAGGCGTCGCTGAATCTATTCTCGCACGTTCCAGTCTGCTCCCTATATGCAGGCAGCATCGCTGTAAGATTTAAGTTCATGAAGCACCAATCACTCACGATGTCCAATTCGAATCCGTTGATGCTTTGGCAGCTGCAATCACCCATGCATCAGTTCCAAAGCTTGCTTGCGATGCAGAATGGCGGGACAGTCTCCTGTCATAACGGATCCGACGTCAATACCGCATCAGGCAGCTCGCACTTCTTTGCATACTTGGCCAGTAAGCTGCTCGGAAATGATCACACTGCATCACCCACCCAGCAGTAAACATCGCGACAAGCCAACGGACAAGCACAGAGATCTGTGACTCCGCAAGACGGCCAAGGATTTCGACGTCCGTCCGTACCCGACCATGTGTTCATGTTGCATCCCCTTCATCTTTGTGCTTGAAGTTGGCACCCCGGTGCAACGAATTTAGCCTGTACAGTGGAGGCACTCAGCCAAGGCCCGCAGCGCTGCAGGGTTCATAGCTTGGCTCCATGAGGTCAACCTCAAACAGGCAACACTGCGCGAGCACTTCTGCCTGGATGTGCACCTGACAGTGCCAGCCTCCAGCGTCAAGCTTTTGACGCTTTCCAGAAGCATCCACGGAAGGATCCTGATCTGAGGCTTCGTACATAGGCCAAGCACGAAGATTGTCCACACCGACCAGAATTACCCCGCCAGACCTGCATGGAGCGGTGTCTGGCCGTGTCCTGCCTGACCGAGGTTTTTCGGAAACAGCCAACCATCCCAAAGGAAAAGAAGCTAGTTGGATGTCACCGTGTGACCTGGCCTGGGGATCACCAGTTCCGGCTTTGCCTCATCGAACGATCTCTTTCTGTCTTTGGGGCTTGAAGGGCGGCGCATTGCTGCTTCCGCTGCCTCTGTCGCTCTCATCCCTTCGGAAATTCTAGTTACATGTCGACACTATCGCCGGCACAATGCAGGAGTTTCTCTGCGTTTCCACTACTAATAACTGTGATGCTTCCTGCTTCCAAATTCCTGCTTCCTGTTGATCTGCAGAGGAATCTGCAGTAATTCGCATGGGTTGCAACACAGAGAGCAATCCAAGATATTGCCACACAGCTTCTATCAGCGTGGCCTGGAAAGCCGAAGCAGCAATCGTCTGGGTGGCCAGGGCATCTCGCGGGAATGCAGGCAGGCCACGCATGCCTTGCACATGCACCCGCTCGTCGCACTTGCAACCGAAAGCGAGATCATGCAATCGCTCGGGATGGTATGTCTATCACTGGAGTCACGGGAGCAGCCGGGCCTGCTGGGGGGACCGCTCGAAGTCTTTCTGCGGACAGGTCCTCGCTGCTCGCTGCGCCGAAGCACAGCGCTCGAAAATCTGTGGCAATGAGTCAACTATGTCAACTAGACGGCGGTGTTGCCTTGTTGCCGTGGTATTGAGTCCGTGGATGGCGATGCCTCTGAAGCTCCAGGGGCCAGGGAGGCCCTGATGCAATCTTTCGCGATATCAGACAAGGACGAGGCGAGAGAAAGGAGTATCCTTGAGCTTGCGGGCGGCCCCTGGCCGGACAGAGACTCCGCGGTCCAGAATCGGCCACCGGCTACTTCACCGTGAGCGTCAGAGCACGAGCCTTCTCACGTCGTCATCATCAGTAAGCCCGAAATCGATGCTGCTACTCCTGAGTTTCGACTGGATATGGGGCGTCAAGCTGTGGGACCTTGACGACAATCAAGCGCAACATGCAAGTGCAGCAGATTGCAATACCATGAAAAGCAACAACAAGCCAGGGCTCTGCCCGTCGCTCTCTTCAACAGCTTCCTTGGCTTCCTTGGGTGCCTGGCGCGGAAGCATTGCAGGAGTCAATCTTTGACCCGATCCCCAGCTTTGACGACGAATCGCGTTCCCCCAAGGCAGTGGTCGTCTGCTGTTGCTTGGCTGAGCATCAAAGCGGTTGAGCGAATGACAAGCTTCGTTCAGCATTGAAAGAGATGTTGCCATTGCTGTATGAAGTACGGCTTGCAGCGAGCAACCGGGCAGAACACTGTGGGCGTCTAGCCGCGGAACCCAACCGAACCGAACCGCAGGAACTGAACCGCGAACCCAACCCTTCACACAAACCGAACTGAACAGAATTATGCCACAAACCGCACCGCAACCGCCAGCACATCATGGGTGCGAGGGTCCCGATTGAAACAAAAACCCGCAATGGTGGCATCCTCATGAGAAGGACCCTAAAATCAAAAGGAGGTCAGACCTGACAATGGGACTACGGTAACCTCGTGGCCTCATGACTTCCCGGCCTCACGGCCGAAAGGAAATAGACAATTTGAGAACAAGGAGCAAACCGCTCAAAAAGAACTAGACTTGAGAATACGAGAAAACGTGGCAAGCCAAACAAAACGAAGAGAAATTGATAGAAAGGAGCAAACCGCTCGAACGAGACTGAAAGAGACTAGAGTACTTGAGAACAAAAATCAAACCGCTCACAGAAAATGGGAAATGTGAGAACACCGAGCAAACCACTCAAAACAGACTAGAGCATTTGAGAACAAGGAGCAAACCGCTCGATTAAGACTAGGGAATTTGAGAACATGGAGCAATCGCTCGAAAAAGGGTAGAGAATTTCAGAACAAGGCGCAAACCGCTCGAAAGGGACTAGACAACTGACTAGACAACGTGAGAACACCAAAAGCGAACTGCTCCAAAGAGGTTGGAACGATTGAGAACAAGGAGTAAAACGCTCCAAACACAAATTCTCTATTCTCTTCGGAGCGGTTCGCTCCTGGTGCTCTCATGTTCTAGTCTTTTTCGAGCGGGTAGCTCCTGGTTCTCAAATTGTCCAGTCTCTTTCGAGTGGTTTGCTCCTGCTTCTCAAAATATCTAGTCTTTTTCGCGCGGTTTGCCCCGTTCTGATTCTCTAGTTTCTTTCGCGCAGTCAATTTCTCTAGTCTCTTTCAAGCGGTATTCAAGCCATTTGCTCCTTGTTCTCAAACTTTCTAGCCCCTTTCGAGCGGTTTGCTCCTTTGCTTCAGATTCTACAGTCGAAAGCTCTCTGTTCTCAATTTCTTGACTCACTTTCGAGCGGTTTGCTCCGTGTGCCCAAACACTGTAAGTTTTTTCAAGCGGTTTGCTCCTTGTCCTCAGATTCCCTTAGTCTCTTTTGAGTGGTTTGCTACTTTGCTCGAGTTCTTTGGTCCTTCTCGACCGGTTTGCGCCGTGTTCTCAACTTCTCCAATCTCTTTCGAGCGGCGTGCCCTTTGTTCGCGAAGTTCGTAGTCTCTTTCGAGCGGTTTGCTCCTTGTTCTCAGATTCCCTAGTTTCTTTCGGGCAGGCTCCTCCTTGGTGTCAAACTCTACAGTTTCTTTGGAGAGGTCTGCTCTTCGTGCTCTTAACTCTTCCACCTATTTTTCCAGCGGTTCTTGGTTTGGTTTCTCAAACCTTCTACGTAGTTTCTTTCGCTTGGTTTGCTCCTTGTTTTTGATTTCTGTACTCTCTTCCGCACGGTTTGCTCTTTTTGAAACCCATAAGTCGGTTTCGAACGGTTTGCTCTTTGTTCTGAAATTCTCTAGTCCCTTTCGAGCGGCTTGCTTCTTGTTATCGAATTCTCTGGTATGTTTGGAGCGGCTTTCTCGTTGTTCACAAATTCTCTAATTCGTCTCTTTCGAGCGGTTTGCTACTCTTTTGTATCTTGAGTCATCAAAAACAAGGAGCAAACCAAGCGAACGAGACTTGTGAATTTGAGACAAGAGCGGTAAAAAAAACGCCACGGGGACCAACAACAAAGCCAGCCCAACCGCGACTGTGCGAACCGAATCGCACACGAAGAGAACCGCCACGAACCGCCAACCAGTTCCAACCAGATCGCGCGAACATAGCCTAGCATCTGCCTAACATCTTGGACTCAGCAGGCTGGTATTCAGGAGTTGCAAACTTCAACAGCATGGGACAATGACTAGAATAATGACTCGAACCAGGAGCACCCAACTGGAAAGTATCTGATTCCAACACATCTGGAAACGTCCACTTGCTAGAAAGCGTGGGGAGTCTAAAGACTCTGCAGGCAACTGAAACTGAATGTGCTTTCGGGCACGACATTTTACGATTGGAGGCCCGGTTTGAGACTAGTGCTGAACTCAAGACAGCATAGGCCATGAAAAAGTCATAACTCATAAAGTATATAATCACAACACAGCACATCATATCAGAATCACAACAGTGGTACTCCCGGAGCTTTCGCCTCAGCCTTCGTGCGCCTCTCCGTAGCCAGGATGAGGCGATCCACTGCTTTCTTGCGAAATGCCGTCAAGGCCTTGAGCGGATTTGTCAGGATGCAGTTTCGGGCTGACGGCCACTGTGGCAGCTATGGCTATGACCGTTTTGCTGATGAAGCTTGCAAAGAATTGCCAAAGTGCACATAAGCTTTCATTCACTCTCTCGCTCCTTTGCGGTTCTATTGGGCGAGATTGGCGTGAATCTCTTCAGGCGATTTTTGAGGGACACTGTAGCTGCAAACTGACTCTGGTTCGGGACATGCCAACCTAAGTTGAACGACGGTTGTCCAGAACAGTCCTCAAGGGCGTTTTCCACAGGGCTGGCAATCGTCCGTTTATCCCGACCGTATCCGCGGAATCAAGCAGGCACGCAGGCAGGAGGCAACACCCCTCGCCGGCAGGCGCCGTAGTGGAGACATGAGACGAACTTTGCGAGGAGGGGCTGCAGTGCACATGAGACGAACTTTTTGCATCAGGACTTGTGCAATCGCCTGAACACATGAGACGAACTAAAGGCCCTTTCCTTGACTTGGTGCACCTGTGTCGATGAGGCCATGCGACGCAGTCAACGATACCTTCCTACCCCATGCTGCAGCAGTCGTACCCCGAGTAATTTATCAAGAAGAGCTTGCTGAAGCCGACAACCTGCTTCCACAGGGCTAGGCCCCGCCGAAGCGGGCAACTTCCAGGCCGTGCGGGACGACGCGAAGCTTTCACAATCGAAGCGAATAACCCTGCAACAAGCGGTCGAGTGAAGCATTTTGTAGCAGAGCCGTTTGCATCTTTGGCACTGGTCTCCGAAGATTGCTTTCCGACTTACAACATGCGAAAAGTTGTTTTCGTCAAGCATCGGAAACCCATGCCTCTTGGTTTCACACGTTTTCCATCAAGCATCCTCGAAGAACTGAGCAGTTGTTGCTTAACATTACCACTTCGAACATCAAAGGTGACACAAACAGCACGAGCTGAAGGCTGCTTCTCGAGTTTAGCAGCGTGCGCCCAATGTAATCCCAAAAGGACGGCTCGGCCGCAGACTGGCACAAACTCTCGTGTTCTCTGCGAGAGGCTTCGGAGCGCCTGCATGATGCGGTGAATGCTCGGCGACTCGGCGATCAACAGCGCAGAGCGATGCAATCGAATGGGCCACGTGCTTCGAGCCTCCTCATCTGCTGTACGCGCGCCTAGACAGAGCTCCTTCTCTGCCTCTGCTGCGCTTGGTGCGCAGTACAGACATTGCATCATTCGCAATAGCGGATCTCTTTCCGCCGCCTTAGATTGACAGTCGGGGACGCTGCCCGCAATTCAGTCTAATTGACTGCCAGAGCCACGAAGGCCGACTTGATTGATGGCCCTGAATCTGATCGGCTGGGCTCTCCTTGCAATCCTGGCAGGAGACAGCCCTGCCTACAAACAGGTGCAGAGTGCTGGCTGCTCTCACGTCCTGTACCAGAGATCTGCGATGCTTGCTTGTTTCGGTCGGAGGTGACCAAGGACAACAGCGTCTGGTCGTCCCCACAGCCAGCGTCGCTTCGTGTCTCCTCTTCCTGCCGTGTCACAGTTTTCACGTAAGCAGCTTCTCGGAGAGCCCTTGCTCAATGCAATGTGAGAATCCACGTTTGCTTTGCTTGGCCTGCGCGAAGCGAACTCAGTCAGTGAGCGGGAAGTTCGTACTGAAATTCATGATTCCTGAGCCCTTGTCTTGGAACATCCAGTACTTGCTGAAAATGTAGAAGTCGAAACCGTCTGCATTCTTCCGACCCGTGATAGGGCACTGCAATTCCTTCACATGCCCGAACTGGGGTGTCGCCACTGGCCGGCAGCTTTGGCGAGGTTGGCCACGCCTCCGTGGGCTGGGTGGTGTAATTTAAGTTTGACTCGGGCCATAAAGGCGATTACGAACCTGAGCTTGAGCATGATAGACACTTCGCGTGGATGCAGCCGCGAATCCGTGCGCACTGGTGGTCGTGCTCGTCTGCAAGCTCCTTCTTCACGACTACGTCTTCCAGCTTCACCTGTGAGGGCTCTTAAGTCTAACCTGACCACGGATACATGTTTCGAGACCGGCATCTTAACAGGATCCAGTGAAACTGGTTCAATTCAACTATCCGTACCGTATGCCTGAACGGATGGGTGTATGGGCCGACCCGACAGAATGGAAACGCTTGGAGAGCTGTTCACGCGCCTCCTCCTTTTTCAGCACTTTGATAGGCTTGCCTCGGAGTTCGGCCTGCCACTGAAGGAGCTCGAAGCAAACGCAGCACTACAAGACGCGGAATTTCGGACTGCGAAACCTTGTAGCTACCAAAGCCCGGCTTCTTTGAGGCGAGTGCTAACCCTGGAGTTGCGAACCGCGGCCCAGCCTTGACTTGGGATTTGATGGGCAGAAGGCGAGGAACCTGGATGTGAACGACAGGGGTCGACTCCTGCTGCCGTCGCCACAAACTTGCCTTTCTCATGCTGGCAGCGCATCTTCCGGAGAACCGTCTGGGCAGTGTTGCTGGCTTGCGCCGCGCCTCAATTTCGAATTGCCGACGCGGGTCTTAGCAGCCGGTCGCAGTCTGTGCCTGACTCTTGTTCTTGAACATGCGCTGTCGCATACACTTCGCTTGCTCCCAAAGCCTTGGCAGTTTTTGGTGAACCATGAACTTCAGAAAGTTTGGGCTTTGCGACTGCTAGGGAAGTGCAAAGCACGGGCAGACAACTTGCGCGAGCAAGTGTAAGTGTTCAGCATGGCTCAGACCTTGCAGGCATGCCGCCCGAGTTGTTCCAGGCACGTTGCAGCCGCCGGAAGCGAAAGGGGAGGCCGGATGTCTGCAGGGCTTCCAGAAAAGCCACCACAACGCTCTAGACCTCGAGAAAGGTGTTGGCAGGAAGGTTGCCGCTGGAAGCCGACGACAGCAAAAACACGCGTGATGTTAAAACCAGCATGCATGCCACCAGCTGAGGTCAAGAGCGCAGTTTCAGTGCATCCAGATCCGTCACGCCAGCAGCGAGCAACCGGCGGAGCAACTGACGAGCGCCAAATACCATGTCCTCAAAGTGCGACATGCATGCTGCTCCAAATGCACCGGCATATAATTACAGGGCCGTCTTTCAACGCTGCCAGCGGGCCTTGGGATCGCGCCGCTTTTGAGCACGAAAGCACCAGGCAGCCAACGAAGATCGCATCCATCGGGGAAAAACTGCGACCCAAAGCTGGATTGTTACTGTTTGCTCGTCTTGTGGCAGAGCTGCATGGCCGTACATTCCTTGAAAGATCGGCCAAATCGTCCCGAGCGAAGGCTGAGAACTTCAGTTTCTTGCTTCTCAGTCGCGTATGGCTCTGCCCACGGCCTGTACAAATGCACTGGGCGATGCCTCAGCCACACAGTGCCCACACACCCCCAGGTGACAATGCAGCATGCCAGACCAAAACGAAACGCGACTCTGCACTTTTGGAAAGCTGCTGGCACATCGGCGAGATGAAGCCTTCGCACTGCCATGAAGCTTACGCCCTCGGAGCATTGCGCGGCGTCTGCAACAAGTACACCTGCAGCCGCTGAAAGGCAACCACGCGCAGTCATGCGCCATTTTCATCAACATGGTCTGGACACTTGTACCTCCAAGACTCTGAGGTCACGGCGAAAGCGCTCCCCTCTAAGATTTGCCGGAGAGTTGAACCTTTCACAGAACGTGGCAGGTCACGAACACACCGAAGGAAGGCAATGACGAGCGTGTCCAAGGGCCATGCTCGGCAAGCTCTTCCATTGTTGCAACGCCAAACTTGCTTCCGCCGCAAGACCGCTCCTGCAGACAAAAGCAAAAAGCCTCGTTTTTGTGCTTTCGCCCAATGGCAGTGCATAGGAGCTCAAAGTGAGGGGAACGCAGAAGGGGGCAACGGTCTGTCAGGCAAAGGTTGACCCTTCGACGAAGTTCGTTTTTTCAAAAACCCTTCGGCGAACTTCTGCGAACGTTTTGGGGGTTCGTGAGGGGTTCGTGGGTTGTTCGGTTACAAGATAAAGTTCTGATATGTTGTTAAAATTCCCAAGTATATTAAAAGCTTCAATAAGAATTTACGACACTACACCCCGGATAGTCTGTGAAGTTTATATGTCAGCGAGATGAAATGATGATGATTTGCCACGCCTTTTTCTCTGCATCTTGCAGGGATTTCCTGCGAATGTCTTTCCAAAAATACGGAGTTTCTTGCGTTACTCTGGCTCATTAGCAAAAATTCTTGCCAGGGCCCGACAGTCGTTCAGTGCAGGTCCAGGAAGTGCAGAATCCTGGCGGGCGGGAGTGTAAAATCACAAATGAGGTGCGTCAAAAGGCTTGTTGCTCTGGCAACCCGTTTTCTCTCTTGCGACTTCTGCGGCCAGTGACTAAGGCAGCGTTTTATCGCAAACGGCCCGGCAAGGCGGTTGATCGCCAAAACTTGCCAGGTTCAGCGGCCGAGGACTCGATTAAAATTTCTTGCCTTCAGAAACAGCGGCAGCGGAATTCGGCAGAGTCAGGCCGGGGCGCTCTTGAAATACTTCCCTGCTCTCTGACCTACAGTCTCGGAAGACTCAGAAGCAGGGGTAACCCGAGAACACAAAAGCATGTGACACCAACTTTCAGCGATGCATTTTTTATGTTAAAAATAATAATGCTTCTTCTGTGTTCTTGCCCCTGAAACAATCTCAGTCAAGCTTACTTTGGCGATCCTCGCCCTCCTGATGCTGGCGACTTGATCGAGCTGACGGGCGATCCGGCGAGGGTCTTCGGACTCTTGCTAGGCGACGACTTGGAATTGATCTTGCGCTTCGGCGTCCGCGGGGGAGTGTTCTTGCCGTTCCCAGCTGCCGGTTGAAGCGCAGTCTCCGATTTCGCCTGCCACGATTTCGTCTTCTTGCCATCACCAGAACCGGCTTCGGGGGAGGAACCCGTCGGGCACTCCTTCAGAAAGAACGGGCTCTCGGGCAAGGTCTTGCCCTCGTTGATGTCGGAATTCAGGATCTTGCACACCGAGATGTCCACCAACCCAGCACCTGACGGAATTGCTATGCAACGAACAACTGAGTTGGAAGAAGTGGTTTCAACATGTTCTGAATAGACGAGAGAACTAGAGAAGCGCGTGCTTAGATAACTTGATCTGAAAGATTCGCACATTGCAGCTGAGAAACTCAAGGATGTGTTGAAGTTTCTTGCGCACATGACCTTGATGTTGTCGATGTTCTGCATCTCCGGCGGAAGCTTAAACATCAAGTCGGTCTGCATGTACCGCAACTGACTCTTGCCGTCGTCCTGCTTCTCCAGCCTCCAGTAGCTGCAGGAGGGATCGTCACAGAACTCCTTGAGAACGCGGACTCTTGGGCTTGGGTGAATTTAAGGCCAACCGATCCGACAAACAAGGCAACGGTTAAACCGAATTCATTCAACTTGAATTTTCACTGACTTGGACTCACGACCCCAGCCGCATGTTGGGCCTAAGAGGCTGAGCAATGAACAGGCGGCGGAAAATCACGATGTTGCAGCAGGATGCCTTACTTAGGCGGGTTAAACGAGTAGGTCCTGGAAGGTCGTCTCTGGCCCCCGTGGCTCCCAGGTTTCTAGCCGGCTGCCGTAGTCTGTGAAGCGCTTCATCATGAAGTCCTCAAGCGCGACCATGCTCTTGCTCGGCAACGCGCTGTTGACGTCGCAGTGAGTGATGAACCTACGGCGAGTGAGGTGTTTTGCACTTTTCTTGCTTCGGCAGAGGCAAAGAAGATTTGAATGAAAGATTGTTTTACATGTACTACTGATTCACAGCCAAGCTACGCGAGCAGGGTCGCCAGGAAAGCACGCTCTATCTTGCATCTGAAGTTCTTCTGCTGTTTGTCCAAGAACGACATCACTTTGGGAATCATCTTGCAAAGCAGCGGTCGCGTTTGCTCTTGCCCAAGCAATCGGAACTTGTTCATGTAGGGCTTCAGCTTCTGCTCCGACGAGTCGTCGTCGCCCACGATCTTGCCGGAGTCCAGCGAATCAAAGCTTCCCATACCTTTATGCCACGTGCGCTCTAAAGACAATGAATCACAGTCAGTCATTTCACTCAAGTTCAACTGAATTTAAAGAACCTAGCTCGCTAAAGCTTCACAGTACTATTTTTCTTTCCCAAACATACCCAAAAAAACGAAGAACTAAAATTCTCAGCGACTGAAGCCCCGATGGATGTGTTCCAGTGCTTTCGGCCGTAGGGCAAACCACGCATCGAGCTCCTGCCTCATCGTGACCAGTCTGTTCTCTTGCGCTTCAAGATTCGCTTTCTGCTCTTTGCGCAAGGCTTCCTCCGCCTTGTCCTCAGTTCACGAATATTCGGACATGTGATTAGCTTGATTGATGGGATCATATGTTTAAAGTTAAGGGGGGTCGGAAGGTTGAAGTGTAGACGCCTTGCTTGCAGACAAAACACTTTCAGCTTCTTCTCCTTCGAAAGCGCCTTCTCTTGCACTGCCTTGGTTTTTGACTGGATGCAGCTCTTCTTCGGGGCCATGGCTGCGCAAGCTCGGCCAGCAGGAAACAAAATTATCCAAGACTGAGATGCTTCAAGGCTTCTCTTACTTGCTATCGAGCCGGACATGTCACCGGCAGTGATGACGGCTGGGCCGGTGCAATTTCTCATCTCTCACAACCTCATCGCAAACAAACAGGCTTCCCTGCAGTGTCGTTTCTGAATCTGGCCGAAACAATCCAACAGGAGGCGGGCAGACCTTGCAAGCGACGTAGGTCTCTTGCAGGATAGACCGGTGGAACCGGCACCTGTTAGTGTCTGACTGTGTCTGATTGGATTGGTTTGGCTTACTATACATCAGAATGTGGAAACCAAGGACAATCGCAAAAGCTGCGAGCATCGATCCAGCGCAGGTGAGTTAATCATTTCAACTATTGACTTGAATAAGCATCCGCACACCGTCTCTATGCTCGCAGATGCGTACAGGCGCAAGCGTGCATGTATGTTTACGTTTGCGTATGTGGGTGGGCGCTACTATACAACTTAATAGTTTATTAATAAATTGTGCGTGCATGCGGTTGTGACCGGTCGCACTCTGGGTTCGCGGCAGGAGGACTCTGGCCAGACCAGTGTAATCAGCAGGGCAGGAAACTCTCGCAGGAGTCTCCGCCTGCAAGCGTGGTGATATGCAAGACCCGGAAGCTTACTGTATTAAAAATTGTTATTATGAAATATGCATTCATTCGTTACTTCAAGACAGTCAGGAGTAGTAGTCGTCGTCGTAGTAGTAGCACTAGTTATTAAGTACTAGTAGTAATAATAATCGTCGTTTACTAGCTAGTTTAGGGTTTGCTTTTGTGCTGAATCTGGGCAGAGGAACTTACGGAAGGTCTGGCTACGAGGGTGCCACTCCTTTACTTCCAAAGACTCAGATTTGCAGATTTGAGCAAAGAAGGAGAATCTTAACTGAGTCTTACTGGCCTTGTTTCGGTTGCAACTTTCGAGTAAATTACATTTATTACATTATGCCTGCAATTATTGCTTGGATGCATCTTGCGGATCTTATGGGTCTTGCGAGTGGGCGACTTAGGGGGGAGTGCCCATACCCTAAACCCTAAACCCTAAACCGGAATTATTATTAAATTACTGAAACAGAGCTTCAAGATCAGTCCCAAAGACCCCGAAACCAAACTTGAAAGCCCGGGAAAGAAGCCCAGCCCCTGAACGAACTATTGTAAGTGCATTGTATTAATGATGTTTGCGCTCTTGCTTCTTACTTATGCTAATATTAATAGGGTTTAGGGTTCAGGGGTGTAGGATAAGAGAGAGAGAGAGAGAGAGAGAGAGAGAGAGAGAGAGTGAGAGTGAGAGTGAGAGTGAGAGAGAGAGAGAGAGAGAGAGAGAGATCTCCGCCGGGTCGATGTCGATGTGGAGTCCGCCAGTCCCAGCCGAACACTCGGAATTGGTGTCGGCAGCTGCTAAGTAGACGAAGTCTCGCAGCCCGGCAGCCAGCAGATTACAAGGATCCACGAACGGATCCATGGAGGCCTTCTGCCAAGGGCATCCTCCAGCGAGACGCGAACCAGGTCCAATGTGAGGAGAAAGCCTTTTTGCCTGGGCGTCTTCTGGTAGCGGAAGTCAAACTTCCCGACCATGCGGTTGCACCAGGTCCGGTGGTCAAAACCGTTCTCCACGATGGAATTGGCATTGTACCCTCCAGTGCTTTCGGAGTGGGGCTAACTACGGTGTTCCCCTGGGCGGACAACCCTAGTATGTCTAGAGAAGAAAGGCCCGCCTAAGAAACCTTCCTCCGCCAAAGGGACCACCCCTATTTTAAAGGTTTCTTAAAACAACACCCCCTACACTACACCCAATTCACCCAATGCCTTAGCCATTTAATTAGTTCGGAGGAGGCACGGTGGAGTCCTACACCGGGGATTCTATTTCAGGAGCCGGAAGGCGAAAACTGAAGCATCCCCAGGGTCGAAATGATACCCTCCGAATGTGAGTTCGGCCTCCTGAAGTGAAGAAACTGAAACATTAAATCAAGGCTTTCTGACAGGGCCCCATAATGCTTCGGCAAGGGAATCTTACGCAGTCGAGGTCCACCCTGAAACGGCTCCTGACATACCATTCGGCAACGGGTTGGGCCTTAGGGCGGGGGGCTTAGACTACAGCCTCCGAACTAATTAAACTCAACCACCTACCGTACACGCCAAGAGCGGGACGGAGCTGAGCGAACGGCGCCAGCGGCAGCAGCCGGGCAGCGCAGAAGGGTGGCCTGCGATTGGAGCTT